CCATGGCAAGTCACTCTATCTTAGAATGTCAGTGTGGGGATGAAATGAGATGATGCAAGGAAACCACTTAAAGCAGTAACTAGCGGACACTAAGTGCTCACACTGCACAGTTAAGCTCTTGCTAATTCCCAGGCAGAGTTAGGCAGTCCTGCCAGACCTCCATCACCGTGCACCGTTCAGGTCTATTCTGTAGACAGGATCTGCATTGCCATCTTTATACTCACAGCCCATATAAGGTTTGACTCCTTTTCTGGGTATATCACAAGGCGAATGCTCAATGCCAACAGCCAAACAGCCAGAGGTTCTGGAGAAATGCCTAAAAGCAAAGGCTATTACTTTAGGTAATTACTTAACAAGAAGAGGACTCCAAACTGCAGCAGTGTACAAACTTCTGCACACCACTGCTCCACTGAATCAGCAGTTTCCTTGGTGCAGCACCAGAGAGCAACACAGAAACCTGTGACAAACCCCAAGTGCATCCAAACATAGGCAGCAAACCCTGCATGGCCTCTAGGATTGGAAAGCTTGAGTATGATCAAGAGGGTTTCTGAGGGTCTGTTTAGGAGAATATCCTGATCTTCCTTTGAAGAAGCAACTACATCTAAGGTCAGAAAGAACTTTAATGCTGTGCAAATCATGTCCGAAACAGAGCTTCTCAACTGTGGCCCAAGTGACCTTGGGGCCCATATAATTCTTTGCTGTGGGGCTGTCCCATACATTGCAGGATGTTTAGCAGTGCCCCTGGCCTCCACCACTGGATGCTACCCACAAGTTGTGACAACCAAAAATATCTCCAGATACTGGACAAATGTCCCCTGGGGGACAAAGCTGCCCCATCTGAAAATTCTTCTAGAAGAAGTAAGCCCACTCAACTCAAACCCTTGCAGTAAATTAGTGAGGAACAGTTTGAGCTATGCACTAAAACTATACCTGCACCGTCTGCAGGTATGCTTGTTTGTGTAAGGTCACAGTCTTGAAGGCAATTGTTCTCAACTCAGGCTACACATTAGAATTCCCTGGGAAACTTAAAAAAAAATTAAACAAAACAAAACTTCCTGGGCCTCACCTCTAGGGATGCAGATTCAGTTGGTCTGATAGGCAGAGCTCAAGCATTTTTTTTAAGTTCCCAAGGTGGTTGTAACCCACTCGCATTATGCAGAAGCACTGTCATGAAACTGAGTTTGATTCTGTTTTCTCCCCAATCCTCTGACTTGTGAAAAGCCAGTGAGTCAGAAAGCCAAAAATGAGGCTAAGGGGACTTATTAACTTCTGATTCTTGACAATGAAACATCTTCTGCACACTCCATTTCTGGGCTAGAAGTGGAGTACACAGATGACTTGCCAGAAAGAATGGCATTTAAACCCCGTCATCAAGCCACTGTTCCATGGCCTTATTGATCTAAACAGTGCTGTCCCAAAAGCACTTTCTGCAAAGGTAGAAATGTTCTCTATCTGCTCTGCCCAATATGGTGGCCACTGGCCAATGTGCCTATTGAGCCCTTGAAAGGTGAAAAAGTGAATTTTATTTTAATTAATTTGCATTTAAATACCACAAGTGGCTAGTGGCCACTGTATTGGAAAACACAGAGAATGTTTTCTGTCTCTCCAGGGTTACAGAAATTTTAAAAAGTCTGATAAATTCTGTAGAACTGTGAAATTTACAAAAAAATTTACCTTAAGATAGCTAAACTCAACGGTCTTTAAATTATCAAATGGAATCGTAACTTACTCAAATTGAGACTCAATTAGGAGAAATTTTAACATAATTTTTCAACTTGGACTAGCTTCCTGGCATATTCTAAACACTGAGCTTTGAAGGGAACATCCCTGCCCTTTTCTTTTGAAGACTCATCATGGTAATAATTGAGCTAGTCATCAAAATCACCAGGAGTTTGCTGAAGAATAAGATACCATGTGCTGGGTGGACTGGCATGCACCTGTAGTCCCAGCTGCTCTCAGGTGGCTGAGGGCAGCCTGGGCAACATGGTAAGATCCCAGCTCTAAAAAATGGGCCAGGCACAGGGGCTCACACCTGTAATCCTAGCACTCTGGGAAGCTGAGACGGGTAGATTGCTTGAGTTCAGGAATTCGAGACCACCCTGAACAAAGCAAGACCCTGTCTCTACTAAAACTAGAAAAACTAGCCAGGTGTCAAGTTTCACCTATGAGCCTGAGAGTTTGAGGTTGCTGTGAGCTATGACACATGGCCACTCTAGCTTGGGCAACAGAGTGAGGCTCTGTCTCAAAAAAATAAATAAATAAAATTTAAAAATTTTAAAAAGAATATGACACAGTGAAGCTGATTTCGACTCTTAGCTACTCACTCTGCTCTTCTACTGGGATAAAACACTCACTCTTGCCTTCTTCTTCAAACTGCTTTTTCTTCTTCCAAACCAAGATGTGATCTTTCATTTAACCACTTGCCCCCAGGACAGGTCTGAACCAACACACATTGCAAACCAAGGTCACCTCTAAGGACAAGTTTTTCTTGAATCAAATTTCACAATTATTTCCAATTATACCAACTGCATTCCCATGCCCACTCTAGGTATGCAGACTCTCACAGAACTTAAAGTTCATACATTTTAAAAGCTTAAAAAAAAAAAATAAGGGCAATTCTGTCTCCTGGAGCAAAAGTAAAAGATAGTTTAGAGTTGAAGCATGCCTCATAGGCACTTTGGAGCACAAAAGTGCTTACTTTGCTTGGCCCAAATCCCCTTGCCCACCTCTAAGTAGAATCAATGTGAGCCTTTTATTAATGATTTAACATTTCTCCAATAATTTAAAGTAGTAGTCAACTATCTCTCACATTCCATAATAATAGCTGGTGCTTTCTGAGTGTTTACTATACACTAGGCCCCATACATTATTTATCTAAGTATTACTACTGTCCTCTGATACAGGTACTATCAACAGAAGCTGAGGCTCAGAGAGGTAAGGTAACTTGCCCATAGCCACACAGAAAGAATGGTGAGATCTGGATCCAAGACTATCTGATTTTCTGGTGGAAATCCTTTGAGTTATCAACAAAAAACAAACATGCAGTTACAGTGTTAGGTACAAGGCTGAGTGATTCCCCCTGTGATCAGACTACAGCTCAGTGAAGGAGTTTGGTGTTGCAGGGTTCAGAAATCCTGGACCTCTGTCTCTGTTTTAGGGCTTAATCAGGACAGAGAGTGGAAAGAGGGGCTTTGGGGGAACTCTTCTGGTTCTGCCAGCACAACTGCACCCAAAAGGTAGTGGTGCAGGGGGAGGTAGTGGGATCCAGCAATAGGATTCCAGGGGAGAAAGGAAAAGCTTTCATTTGGGGGCAGGGGAGAAATCAGGGGAGTGTTCCTGGAGGGAGCAGCTGAGTTGGATCTACTGCACCTATGGGGTAGATAAAATTTACACATCACAGATTCCAGGGAGGGCATTCCTAGAGGAGAAAACTGCATAAGCAAAGGCAACAAGTGGGAAAGAAGTATGTTCACTGACCTGGGCTATAGCAAAGGAAGCAGGAAGGGAGGTGGTGGTCAGGATGCAGGGTGGGCAAGAAGCAGGGTCTCCAGGGGGCTAAACCAGAGCAGAGGGAGCCCAGAAAACACCCAATTAACCATCCTAGGACTTGTTTTGCATGCCAGACCTGGCATCCCAGCCCTTTCCAGCTGTGTGGCCTTGTCCAAGTCCCTTCTCCTCTCTGGGCCTCATTTTCCCTGAGGAGGGCACTGAAGGTCCTTTGCTGATCTGTGAGCCTAATTTTAGAAAAATAAACTGGTGCTAAGAATACAGGTTATTAGTTTTTCTTCTACTTTTCCACATTATATATTAAGAAATCTTAAGAATGTATTGGTTAAAATTGGGTAAAAAGTCTATTGGTTCAGAGCGAGGGCATTGAGGTCAGACTACTATGTGTCCTAGGAAGGGACCACCTCCAGAAGCCTCACATTCCTCCTCTGAGAAATGGGGACAGCAGTGATATACACGCCATATGACTGTTGGGGAAAGTACGCCGGTAGTTACTTCGAGGGGCTTTGAACAAGGCCTGGCACCCAGTACTCGCTTATTTATGTCAGCTATTATTAATTATAAAGTATTTTAAGCTCCCAGCCAGGTGGAGCCAGCCATTAGAGATTTCTGAGCAGGTGAGAGAGTAAGACAAATCCTGGCCTCCAAGTCCCTGTTCTTCTTAATCAGCTAGCTCCTTGGGTACAAAAAGGGCTCAATGTACTTATTCCCTAAATACACAGACTCTAGACCCTCTGGCACCCTCTTCCTTCCTCCAAGCCTCACTCTGTCAACTTGGTTTCCTGCACTGCCAGTGGTTTGGGGGGTGCAGATCTTGCACGCGCTCTGCCCCGCAGCCGGCGTTACACAATCCGCATTTCTAAGGCGGCCCGGAAGCCCGAGTCAGCGGAGGCGGGGGACCGCAGGGTGGCCGGCGGGCATCAGGCTGTCAGGGCAGTTGGACAGCATCCTGACTCCAGGGTTTGGAGAAGGAGTGGGCGCAAGGGAACCGGCACTGGGGCAGGCTAGAGAAAGCTGAAAGGCCGCTGGGGGAGGTCCTGTGGGGTGCAGTGGTTGGGGACAACACTGGGAAGGTGACAAGGAGCATAATGTACGGGAGGATGAACTGCAGCCCTTCTCCAGGAAGTGAGAGAACGAGGATGCTGAAGCCCGCAACCACACAGGCACTGGGAAGGGCGCGTCGGGGCTGGGGAGGCGGAATAGAAAGAGGGCGCAGGTCCCCGACCCACCCTCGCTCCCGGCTTAAGGGGACTAGCAGCCGGACCTGGGAAGTGAGGGTACCGGAGTTCGGGAATCTCAAGGCAGCGGAAGGGAGGGCTGGCGCCGACGCGGGAAAACGGAATAGAGAGAGAGGTGCAGGTCCCGGTCTCATCCTCACCTGTGTGTCGCTTGGGGGGAAGGCGAGGCTGCCGGACTCTACGAGTCAGGGGTAGGTCACCGAGACATTGGGGGCGCCCGGTTCCCCTTGTCCCGCCCGCCTCGACCCCGCTCACCTGCCCGGCCTCAGCTACCTGGGTCCCGCCGCCGGAGCCCGTCCCCAGCCCCGGCTCTGCCCGGCCGCAGAGCGCCCTCAGCTCCCGGCGCCCGCTCCGCTCGACTCCCTTAAAGGCGCAGAGCACCGGCCGGTATCCTCCGACAGAAAAGCAGCACCGTCCGCACTTGGTCCCCCGCACTGTCTCCGGCCGCCGAGTCCTGTTTTGGGTCTCCGGGGCGCTTGCGCCCCTCTCCTTCGCGCCCCGGACCCACAGCTTTAAACTCGGAGGGTAAAGTTAGTATCCTGCACAATCCGACCCCAAGACCTTCCTCCAAGCACCCAAAAGCCAAAGCCAGAGCGCAAGCGCCTACTGTGTTCCAGAGGCAGACGTCAATCATCTGGGCCCCGCCTCCGCCTCAAAGGGCTCTTCGTGAGGCGGGGCGTGGGGGAGGGCATTCCAACCCCAGGAGCCTCAATCCCATAGTAAGAACCCAGAATTCTTGAGGCTTTGTTTCATTTGCTGGGCACCTACTGTGTGCCCGGCGCTGCTGGGCGTTGCACCTACCAAAGTTACTCAGGATCTCTGCCCCTAAAGGGCCCAGAGAGAAAGAAAGGGAAAGATGCTGGTTCGCGAGCAAGCGAAGGGACACCTCTTAACATCAGTCGTCTCATTTGATCCTATGACACTACCGTTGGCTTCCTTTCTCAGAAGAAACTGAGGCTCAGAGAGATGGAGACTTGTGCAAGGGCTCAGCCCAGGGTCCCAGTAAAGGTAGAAGTGGGAATTCCAACCCAGGATCTTCTGACTCTAAAGCTGGGGGGGCATGAGCATCTAGAAAGGCATTCAGCCACCCCTAGTTATAACCCCACTATGATCATGTTTTCTTTTTAGCAATAGTTGAACAACTTGGCCTGGCTACTCCTTCCTGTTTTATATGTCTCAATTTAGCTGTCACTTCCTCCAGGAAGACTTGCTTAAACCCTCTTTGAGCTCACACAGCACTGTGGGCTTCTTCTGTCAAAATATACATTCCTGGCTTGGCTCCCATAGTGCTCAGTGGTTAGGGCTCCGACCACATATACTGGAGCTGGCGGGTTTGAATCCGGCCTGGGCCTGCTAAACAATAATGGCAACTACAACAACAACAACAAAATAGCCAGGCGTTGTGGTGGGCGCCTGTAGTCCCGGCTACTTGGGAGGCTGAGGTGAGAGAATAGCTTAAGGCCAAGAGTTTGAGATTGCTGTGAACTATGTGACACTCTACCAAAGGTGACATAGTGAAACTCTGTCTCAAGAAAAAAAAAATAGATTCCTTAGTATAATGAGTATTTACTAAGCACTTGCTAAGTGCCTTCATGGCATTTAGGTCTTCCTGCTGCACTAGCTCTTGGCTTGCTAATCCATCTCCCACTCCAGACATTGGAGGGCCATGGCTCAGCAGGAATCTTTTGGTCATTTTAATCTACCACAAAGGTAGCCCCAGGCCTAAGCCCACCAACCTCTAGGCTGGTGGAGCCTGGCTGAGTTGGGCAGGTCCTGAGTTTTAGTTATTTTTTAATTAAAAGAATTAATTTCATAAGGCTGGGTGGCATGGCCCACGAGTGTAAACCTAGGATTATGCGAGGCCCAGGGTGGATTGCCTGAGCTCAGGAGTTGGAGACCAGCCTGTGTAAGAGTGAGACCTCATCTCTACTAAAAATCAAAAAAACTACCCCAGAGTTGTGGAGGCACCTATTGTCCCAGCTACTCAGGAGGCCAAGGAAGGAGGATTGCTTGATCCCAGGAGTTTGAGGTTGCTGTGAGCATGATGCTGCAACACTCTACACAGGGCTACAGAGTGAGATTATGTCTCAAAAAAAATTAATTTTGTAAAGATGGTTTACAAAGCCAGCCTCAAGCAATCCTCCTGCCTCAGCCTCCTAAAGTGCTGGGAGTACAGGCATGAGATGCCATGCTCAGCAAAGGTCCTGAGTTTTAGAATGGGACATGGGCAAGAAGGCCAGAGATGTGGCAAAGGTGCATCTGTGAGGCTACCTGTGACCACTCATGTCTGTAAAGTCTGCCTTGTCAGGGCAGATGGAACTCATCTGGAGTTCGGGACAATCTCTCTGGCTTGGGAGCATCTTTTTTTACTTTATTGGCAATGTCATCATTCAGACTTCAAGGGCTGCATTTGACTCACTTCAGGGAACTAGAGCTTCAGTGGCAATTTACTCATCAAAGGGTAGGTTGCTCAGTCCTACCCCTCTGGCCTTATTTTTGCATGGACAAACTTTAAACTTTCCAAGGCAACTGTCCGCCAAGATCCCCAGAGCAGGCCCAGAGAGGCAGCAACAAATAAGACTGACCTGCCCTTTAATCCCCATGAGCCACTTACTGGCCCTGCAATCTTGGGCTTAGGGAGCATCAAACAAGAATTGAGGGTATGAATAAATGAATAAACAATGAAATCGATAAATGACTTCCTGGAAGGCCCCACCTGGAAGTTATCAATAAACTTTACCTGGTATATTTGAAAACAACTGTTCTTTAGTTTTTAAGTTTTCCCTCTCCAAAACATTAAAAATGGATAGTTCAATAGTTTTGTTTTGGTTTTTTAAACTCATAGCCCGTGACCTTGGGGAACTCCAAGAATCCATAATTTCTGTATGCAGAGGGAATCTTTTCCCCTCAGAGTTTTATATTAATATTTAAAAATGTGTGGTTGAGTCCCAGGTGGTAGTCACATTCTAGATGACTGTTCTCCACCTGATGACTGACAGGGGAGAAGCATTCTTGGATCCAGTTTTACAGTGAAGTCAAGGAGGCAAAAGGAGATAAGGGAATTTACTTCTGGTCCCTTCATGAGTCAGCAATCCCCCTGAGCGTTGAAACTGAGAAATCAGGGGGTAGGTGGGAGGTCTGAGAGCAGCCCCAGAGGCCTCCTACTTCCCAGGTGACACCTTCAGTCATGCTCAATAGAAACTCCTTATCATCTGGCAGGTCTCACCCCAGCATTAGAAAAGAGTTTTGAAACCTCACCCCTCCCCACAACTGCAGCAGAATTCAGGCTTTGCCCTATCACGTAGTCTATAGATGTCTCCTGGATTCAGCAGCACATCAGTCAGAGGTGAATGGTGTCTATGGTGCACTGTTTATTGCACACTTATTACCTGCAGAGGCTGGGCATCAGAGCACTTAGTCCTCCCATCACCCTATGAGATGCACTAACTTTACAGATGGAAACACTGAAGCGCAGAAAAGTGAACTGACTCGCTCAAGATCCCATAGCCATTACATAGTGGGGCCAGCAGTCAAAGGAGTCCTTCATTCATTTACTCAACAAACATTTCTAAGAACTTACTACATGCCAAATACTTCCTGAGTGAACAAAGACACATTTCTTGCTTTTTTCGTTTGTTTGTTTTTTGAGACGGAGCCTCAAGCTATCCCCCTCGGTAGAGTGCCATGGCATCACAGCTCACAGCAACCTCCAACTCCTGGGCTCAAGCGAGTCTCCTGCCTCAGCCTCCCAAGTAGCTGGGACTCCAGGCGCCCGCCACAACGCCTGGCCATTTTTTGGTTGCAGCCATCATTGTTGTTTGGCGGACCCGGGCTGGGGATTCGAACCCGCCACCTTAGGTGTATGTGGCTGGCGCCTTAGCCGCTTGAGCCACAGGTGCCGAACCACACTTCTTGCTTTTCAAGGACTTAGAGTCTATTTACAATAAGAAAATATTAGAAACTATTCAATCAGGAAATTACACACATACTATGATGGAATTACACAATGGCCATGTCAGCACTTGGACACGTGTGTAGGAGAAAAATGAAAAAAAACAAGATTCCATGTGTGTACAGATGCCAGCCGGGCAGCACCCCTAGGCTATTGGGCCAATTGTATGAGCCATTCCCCAAGCACTTCCTCTGTGGCAACTCTGAGCCAACCACTGAGCCCTCTGCCCAGTCTGCAACTCCAATGTCACCACCTAGCAGCAGCCTTACCTGTTTATCCAGACAAAATTAATTGTTCCATCATCTGTTCTGTAGCACACTGTACGTGAGGATATCTTCATTCATTTAGGCATTATGAGTAGCACAGAATAGACAGATAGTAATTAGTTACCATGTGTTAAGCTTTTCCTTTGTGCCTCACCTTATGCTCAGTGCTTTATATGCATTATACTCTTGAATCCTCTCACCAACTCTATAAGGTGGGTATTATCATTAGTCCCATTTTGTAGGTGATGGGATTTTTGAGGCTCAGAGAGGTTAGATGGCCTACCCAAGGTCACACAGCTTTGTGATATTGCAAGGATCCAAACAAAGTTGTGTATGTCCGAACTCAAAATCTATTCTCTAACCACTAAGCTACCTGCTGACATACAAGTAATGGAATTGAATATGAAAGATATGACAAAGTTTCACCTTGAAAGTGCTTGGACTCAGCAATCTATAAAATAGTAATACTTTTAGGCCAAAAACTATCTTTCCAAATGTCTCAAAATATTGCTTATTCATTTATTTGTGAATTAAATGTTACTGAGCACTTACTTATGCATAGGACTCAAGCTATGGAAGATGCAATTTGACTTTTTCCTTCAAGGAGAACAGTCTAGGGGCTAGGTGTGGTGGCTCACACCTATAATCTTAACACTCTGGGAGGCCAAGGCAGGTAGATTGCCTGAGCTCATAGGTTTGAGACCAGCCTGAGCCAGAACGAGACCTTGTCTCTAAAAATAGCTAGGGGTTGTGACAGGTGCCTGTAGTCCCAGCTACTTGGGAGACTGAGGCAAGAGGTTCACCTGAACCCAAGAGTTTGAGGTTGCTGTGAGCTGTAATGACAAGACACCCTACCAAGGGCAACAAAGTGAGACTATCTCAAAAAAAAAAAAAAAAAAAGAAAAGAAAAGAAAAGAAAGGAGAACAGTCTAGCCAGGCATGGTAGCCTGTAGTCCCAGCTACTCAGGAGGTAAAATGGGAGGATTGCTTGAGATTGGGAGTTCAAGACCAGCCTGGGCAATACAATGAGACCCTCATCTTTTTTTGTTGTTGTTAGTTTATTTTCTATCTTTTTTTTGAGACAGAGTCTCACTATGCTGCCCTTGGTAGAGGGTAGAGT